TACCAATGTTCAAATATTTCGTCTGATAATTAATTATTCGTATTCAATAAGCCGCTTCGATGTTTTTCTGTCTACGTCTTTCAAGAAAGAAGAAATATTTACAGCACTGTCAACGTTGCAATTGTAATTACCCTGGTGTTGGTGGCGTTCTGTCTGCTGTTCTCAAACATTGTGCTGACTTACTACGTTCTCAATTAAAATTATGTGTAAGACACATAATTTTAATGTTTGTTTGAAAAAAAGTTACTTTCCATCGGTTTGGAAGTGTAGTTTTATTTTACCTCCTTATAAAAGTGGTTCTCGCAAACTTATTGAGAATTATAGGGGAACTGCCAAACTTAGTCCATTGCCCAAACTACTGGCAGCAAAAGGTCTTACTCCGGTTTTAGGGTCAATTATATCGCACTGGCAGCACGGTTTTTTAAAAGAAAGATCAATTGGTACTAATCTTTGGGAGTTTTGTTATCCAATTCTCAAGGCATTTTCAAATCATAAGCAAAGTGACCTTTTTTTTACGGACTCTTCCAAAGCTTTCGACAGAATTCATTAGAGATTGTTAGGCTACAAAATAGGTCGACTTGGTTTTTCGAACAGTGGTTCAGTAGTTATCTGTCTGATCGCATCCAACGGGTGATGCTGAATTCTTGTCAATATAGAGTAAATGTCGTTACTTCTGATGTTTCTCATGACGGTCATCTTGGCCTGCTTTATTTATTTTATACGCGAATGGCCTGCCTTAGTGCATTCAACATTCCCGTGTTTTAATGTTTGTAGACGACGTTAAACTGTCCCACTCCTTTGACTCAATACATGGTGCTGAAATCAAGAAAATGTAAGAAGATGGTATGATACCTTAGTGTAATGCCTTGTTATTATTGTATTGACCAGCCGATTCTGGAAATTGTTTGCAATTTCGAAGACTTAGGAGTTGTTTTTGACTCAAAACTCAAGTTTGACAGTCATATAGAGATGTCAGTTAATAAAGCTAGATCCCTTTTTGGGGTTATAAAAATATGGTCTAAATAATTTAAAGACCGACACGTTACGAAGTGCTTGTATACTTTTTTAGTTAAACCACATCTTGTATACTCGTCATTAGTTTGTCTGTTCAACGGGACTTCTTGATGTTTGATTTGCAAAGTTAAGGATGGGATCCTGCTATATCTCTTTCAGCGTATAATAATAGACGCTCATTGATTTGCTTACCCTTGAAAAAAGGCGTGAAATGTTGCGTGTAACGTTTCTCTTTAACCTAATAAAAAGTGATATTTATTAGCCGGCTTTATTAGAACTTGTTGATATTCACGTCCCCTATAGGATCTCAAGACGTTTTGTGGTCTTGCAGCTACCATAATGCCGTACCAATAATGAGTTGTTCAAACCATTTTGAATAATGTGTAAAATGTTCAACGATCAATACCACTTACTTGATCCGTCATTACACAACTAGTCCTAGATAGCTCCTAGAAGTCTTGTACAAATGTCGGTAAATAGAATCAAAATACTTCTTTATTTTTGGTATTTTCTATTTGTTATTGTTAATAATCTATAAATAAACTCATATTCATTTATCAACATATATCCCTGTATCTTAATTTACGGCTGAGATGAATTTTGTTGTATATTATATTAGTTTGGGGAAAAAGAAATCCATTATTTTTATATGAACTTCAGGACTTTATTTAACATACTTCGGATTGTCCGATTTGGGTCAAATATGCACCGTTTTGTTGTATGATTTGTTGCCATTTTAAAGGTAACTTCAAAATGCCTCTCTCATAGAAGTCCTCGTCTCTATTTGCAAAAAACTCTAGTAGTCGATTTTCACAATCCTTCCTAGATTCCAATTTTTTATCATTAAAGAAATTTTGCAATGCAAGAAAAAGATGATAATCGCTTGGTGCCAAGTCCGGACTGTATGGCGGATGCATTAAAACTTCCCACCCAAGCTCCCGAAGTTTCTGGCGAGTCACTGTAGATGTGTGTGGCCTAGCGTTGTCCTGGTGGAACACGACACCTCTCCTGTTGGCCAATTCTGGCCGTTTCTGGTCAATCGCTATCTTCAAACGGTCCAGTTGTTGACAGTAGAGATCAGAATTTAGCGTTTGGCCATATGGAAGCAACTCATAATAAACAATCCCCTTCCAGTCCCACCAAATGCATAGCAAAACCTTCCTGGCCGTTTGAGGTGCTTCACCGCTCTTTGACCACGATCGTTTTCGCACAGGGTTATCATATGTGATCCATTTCTCATCTCCAGTCACCATCCGTTTAAGAAATGGGTCTATCTCATTCCGTTTGGCCAAGTCTTCGCAGATGGAAATTCGATCCATCATGTTTTTTTCTGTTAATTGGTGTGCCACCCAAACATCGAGCTTCTTTTTGAATCCAGCTTTGTGTAAATGGTTTAAAACTGTTTTATGGTCGACTTTTAGCTCCTGGGCGATGTTACGACTGCTAATATGTCGGTCAACTTCGATCATTTCTCCGATTTTATCGACATTTTCGACGACCGGCCTAGCTGTGCGAGGTGCATCTTTAACATTAAAAATTCCTGAACAGAATCTGCCGAAACCAAAATTGCACATTATTGGCTGTTACAGTATCGGAACCATAAACACCATTCACAATTTTAGCCGCCTGGCTTGCATTTTCGCCTTTGTCAAAGAAAAACTGTAAAATGTACCGAATTTTCTCTTTGTTCACTTCCATTTTTAACACGCTGTAACTTACAACTGAATGCACCAAACAAAAAACAGTAAAAGAATTTTTTTTACTGCGAAATGTCACCTTTCCAACGAGCATAAATACGAAATTGTTTGATCGATACTTTACGAGAAATCTATCAGTGCAGCCATCTACCGAAAAAATAATGGATTTCTTTTTCCCCAAACTAATATGTTGATCACATGTTTATTTTTATTTATTTTTTCTTTTTTATATTACATTTTAAGTTATTTTGCAGCCTACATTCGGTTAATGACTTGTTCTGTAGCGAAATTTAATTAATTGAATAAATAAATAAATATTTGATAACAACGTTTTTAAAAGTAAGAAAACCTAAATTTGAAACTATATTGTTGACTGCGAGCAACCACTATTGCATTGAATTTTTGTACAGTATGTAGTATTATAAACTTAATCAATGGCTAAAGACTTTAAAAAATTTGCTCGAATATTATTACTACAACATAACTTTTTCTTGCACAATTATATATATAACTATATAAATTATTTCTTCTGAACAGATATTTCAACAATATTTTAAAGATCAAGCTTTTTATTTTACAATTATATTTACGATTGGATGGCCATTCTTTCGAGAAACTGATCAAAGCAATACCTTATATTGATGACGTTACCAAAATAACGCGAACGATTTTCAACGCGATCACGCCAAATAATAGACTATGGGTTGGCACATTCCAAGCAAGGTACTTATTATCAACAACTCTTCATATTGGTCCAAACTGTAACGTTGTTCAGAGGCCTGCCTTCGACTTGCCTACGATTGTTTAATAATAGCATTCGAAACTTGATCTTTGGAAAGTTACGATTAAGGTTAAACCTTAAGGGAGGTATAAGAAAATATTCGATCAAATTTATGGTTTTATACTATTTAAAATAAATTATACAACATATCGAAGGCAGAGAAACTATTTTTATACCCTAGCCCTCTTCTAGTGAAGGCATATTGCGCGGACGAAGAAGATCTTGAGCTAGAGCCGCCTTTTATTACATCAATCAATTCAAAATCGTTTCATGAATCCATCTAAAGTTGTCTGCTCTTTCCTTCGTGGATTTTTGTGTGCCGCCTAAAGATCCACATTTTCGAGATATTTATATGGTTCGGATCGGATCACTTTTTCGCTTCCCATATAACGCTATATGAAAAAATATTATAATTTTCAGAATTTCACGACACAAACGATTTGCGGTAAAAAATGTCTAACTTCCAATATTTTTTAATGAAAATCCATTTGTAATAATAATTTGACAAAAGAAGTAACCTTACCGAATTTCATCTACTTTTTGGACTTTATATTAAACCCTTATATGCCAAAACGTCTAATTTTTAATATATCATGGTCATGCATAGTACCAATGCAGCGTAAAAATTAATTGTAAGGAATTTGGATCACATATGTCTATCCTTTCCCCACCGCTATATATAGAGGGGTTCGCATGGAAAGCAAGCGACAGAGTATAAAATTGTCCATATTTCAGAACTCTAAGCACATTAGTCTAGAACCAAGATTTTTTAAAAAAGCGCACGGTATATATATTGTAATAAATATAAGTGCACTACTAAGTTCTTTGTTTTTGTGTATAAAACTGCACCAGAGTATCTTAAGGTAAACACGCCACATAACAATGATTATATCTTACACGACCTATGGTACAGGGTACCATACAGTGCGGACGTATGTAACATGCAGAAGGGCTTAAGATATACCTTTTCTATAATCTTACTTATACAATCATACTCCCAACGTTGCGCCTTGTTACGAAATAAACGCGTGCTTAACCTGAGGCTCCTTATAGGCAACGCCGTTTGTAAAATCAATCCAACTCAATGTTATACCTCAGGGTATCAGATAACTATTTTCGATCAATTTTCATTACAAAATATAAACGCTTTCTTATTTGTTTATAATACTATTTCTTTACCAAACACATAAAAACAAACAAAGCAAAAAATCGCTTACTTTTTTTCATTAACTATAAGCGTACCGGACGATAAGGTGCACTTCAAATTTATAAGACGATTTTTAGAAAAATATGTTTTAATGTTATTTTCGCATCAAAATCTTTATTTATTGTTAGCGTAACTCGTACAAGCAATATTCAGTTCATCTTCACTCTCGGTACTATCACTCTTCTTGTTAATGTCACGTAATACCGTTCGTATTGCTTTCATCTGAACTGTTATTGTCATTCCTTTCAAACCTCAAATTTGGAGATGTTAATTATTGAAAAAATATTTTAATGTTACTTACAGACAATACGACGCACCCAAAGTTTGTGTCCATTTTAAATTTGAACTACTTCGCATGGACGTAATGTATGTTCTATGATCTTGTATCACGAAAATAATTGAGTACATTAAGCGAAGCGCTGTAAAGTATTTAATAGCAGCCTTGCGCGAATCTAAGGTTTTCATCACTTTTTTGCTCAGAGCTGTTCGATTTCGGGGATGAATATTTTAGCCGAATTCTTATATAACTATTGGAATGCGTTCCGCCTTTGCAAAGAAAAAAAATATGTATATGCATGAGTCGTCAATCGCTTCGAAGAGGTTAGGAGCGAATATATTAGTATTAAATTTCTTTCATTTTGTAAGCCATTGTACGCCATCATTTGTATGACTACGGCTAGCTTTTATTTCCATGCCTCATCGGCACCCGATAAAACGTTGAACAACAAACAATCAAGCACTGCAACGCAATGTGAAAATAGGAATAATAAAACCAAACTTTTTTTAAACTCTGTTGGTAGATAGCGTTCTCACATTTCTAAGATGTGCAACTTCAGCAGTTCTTTTGTTAGTAATTTTTGAACATATACGTATTTATTATTATGAGTGAGAGATAAGCTTGAAAATGACTAATATTTATTTACAATTTGTTCAAACATCTATAAAAGTCAGTGACAATAAAGTTTCAGTAGAGTTAAGCAATTATAATACAGGCTCAATTACCACATCGGAACTTGAGATTAAATAAAAAGAAAAGAGTTAAGATAAAAAATGTATATATAAGTGAGTAAAAGGCAGCAAAACAAAAGAAAAAATAGAAAGAAACGTATAAACATCAAGCCCAGATATACATTTACAGACGATTCACATCAAACCAAGAGTGTGTTACTGAACCGGTATAAGCATTCAAAAATTTCATCACTACAACATCATCTACTATATTAACAGGTCGTAACCTAATTTTCTTAATTAAATGTTCTACACATGGCATCGGTAATATTGAAGAATTAAAAGAAGTAGATTTTATCCTACACATGAACACATGTCCAACAAAGAAAACCCATTTCATAAACATGATTCCGAATTTACAAAGAATTTTTACTCTAAGTGGTTTACATAAGCTACAATTGATCCGGTCTCAAGTACGCTGGACTCCTCAAAAAGCCGATACCCCCAAGATATAGTATTAGAATTTATTTCACCGGCTAAATTAATTATAGTAATAGTAATAATTCCTAATTGAATCTACGCTTCCTGCTTGAAGGTTGACTGTGCGTTTTTCGACAGATTTCCTAATACGAAAAGCAAGACCACTTTCTGAACAAACTCGACTAGCTCAACATGGCAACGATAGGACGAAAACCATACAAAGGAAGCATATACCATCGTTGTTTTAACCGAGGTCATGTGTAGCATTTGATAATGTATGGGCCATCGAATACTCTTAGCCGGTACTTAATAATATCCAGCTGATTTAGCTTTGTCTACGGAGACTTCAACATGAAAATTAAAACAAAGTGAAGAAGGAAGAGAACCTACATTCCCCAGCTTGTCTGAATCAGACGAAGGTTCTGTTGTATCTGTTTCCATTTTAAAAATTGTAGCATTTTAACTTTTTAAAATTTAGTGTTATGAAACTGAGTGAGTGCCATGTGATGAAAATTTTTAAACCAAGTTGGAGAACACTGAATCCGATTTAGCCATCGGTAAATGTCAACATATGGGTTGACTTTTTACTGACGAGAGATTATTAATGTATGAAGCAAATAGAAACGGCTTTGCTTTGAGAAACACCTCACTGGTGACTCGCTGGAATGCAAGTAGTTCAAAGACTTCGCTGAAACCACATGTCTTTTTGTGAGGCCCGAAAAGATCTTAAAAGTGTGAGATGTGAGTTCCAAAAGGTTCACAACGGTGTTAGCCTTGTTGAAATGCAACTTAATTAAATGATGGCTCCATGACACTCGATGGGATATCGATTGCCGTATTGTGAGGAGGAGTAAGAAAACTGCCCTTTCGCCACGGAGTTGTCATCATGCGAATTTAACATATCATCGGACGGAGATTAGAAAATATTAATGCTTTTAACAATAAAATCCAATTTTGCATTCGATAATACACTTTTAAGTAATATTATATTAAAATACATTCCGAAGGAATAGAACTGGCACATAGCCCTTCAGCGAAAGAGACGGACGTGCCGTGTTACGAAGAGAGAATGTTATTGTCATGGATGAAGGAAATAAGCTTCTCTTTGATGATTTTTTCCATAACATTTTTTCCAACGTAACATGACTTAAGACAACTGCTTTTGATACTTGTTAAAAAACCGATACCCTTTTTTTATAGTACCTACTTTAAACATAAATTATTAATTTCATCAACACCAGGTCACCTTTAGATTTGGGTTAGACATATAGATTGGGGTTACAAGAATTATATAATTAACGAGATACTTTCTGACGGATAACTCTTCGGGGCGTTGAACTTTAGGGCAGAATGAATCAGAATGTTGAATATGTTAATGCTGCTGTCAACGCACTCATGTGAGCGATTCTTTTATATCCATCAGAAAAGAATGCAAAAACAAAACTAAGGTGTCATACTCTACGATATTGTGTGGCGTGGTAATTTTTTCCATTTTTATCCTGATACTATAACACCGTTTATAGGACATACTTTTATATTTTTGTAGATGTGTCAGCTGAACTTTACGGGTAACAAGCACAAAGCCAATTTTTTATTGCTTTTGAAAGCCGGAGTTGTTCTCAATTTACACGGTACTGTAGGCTGATTCTTCGACCGATTTGGCCGATTTTGAACCTGCGTGCAAGAACTACATCATTTAAAGATTTAACTGGTCAGAAATTTATCCTTTTCTTGTAATGAAACTATACAAGTCGAAAAGGTCAATAGTGCGGAGGTTGTAACGGATAACCGCACGAAGGTCACAGAAAGATAGCAACATCGGAAGTAATGTGGGTTGCAATTTCTATTCAACGGTCACGAAGATTTTATCGCTTCTTTATTATTTAAGAAAACATTAAAAGAAAGGAGATACTTCTGTATAAGTAAGGTAGTATAAAAAACTTTCTACCTAAAATAACAGTTTTCTATGAATTTTCGGCATTCATTACTTTTCTCGTTTGATTTGAAGAAATCGGCTACCGAAGCTCGTCCAACATTTTTAGAAACTTATGGTGATGCTTCTCCATCGTCTGCCCATTGCCGGAAATTCAACGATTTGAATATGGTGATTATTTATGTCAATGACAAACACCCTGGAGGACATAAAAAGTTCAAAAACATGACTTATTGGACGAAAACCCGAAGTTGAAATACTTACTTCTATATTTTCCTTCTTGGTTTTAATTTGTTAATTGCTATGTTACGGAGAAGATCGTTCTTTTACTTAGTAATTAACGCATTCAATTTATAGTAATTTCACGGATGAATTTTGATTATAATTTTTTAGCAGAGTTTTACAATTTAGTTTTAAATTATGGCTTATTTCCCCTTTTACGATTAATGTTATCGAAATTAAAGTGTACACCACAATTGAATTTTTCTCGAGCTGTTGATTAGAGATAAAAACGGTGTCCGAATGGACGTCTCAGAAGAACGAACGGCAAGCCAATTGCTGACTTCAAAATCGGAAACCGACCTTTCCGGCCTCTTTCATCAAAAGACAGATCGCCATTGGCAGCTTTGCCGGATCTCAGTTGAAATCAAATGCTCATTATCCTTATGATACTTAACTCATAAGCTAGTACCCCTCCCGAACAAAAGGTATGTAAGGGCAAAACGAGCATGCGACTTTGAGGCCTCACAATATATATATGTCTATCTCGTTGTCTGCTAGCGGCTACTTATTTTGTTCGCGCTTATGCTGCTGTTGATAATAATGTTGATGATAATGATGTTGTTGTTGTGGGGGCTGATGGTGATGATTATCTTAGTAATGTTTGTGGCTATTTCATTATTAATTCCAAACCATCGTCTAATTTATCTTATCGCCTTGACATTATAAGTCACCAAATCTTTTCATCGTGATTCTTTCTTCGCTTCCCTATTTCCTCATATTGTTCCTATATTTTATTGTTTCGTGATCTTCTTTCTAGTAATTTATTTTTTTTACTTTACACAATGACTTAGTCGACTTGTGTTCTGAGTAGTGTGTATTTTCTTTTCGTCTGTGATTTTTTAATTGTTTCTGTGTTTTTGTGTATTAAGCTTTCTTTTCAGCTACAACTGGTTATCACGGATATTGCGAATACCGTATGTGCTTTTGTGTCCCCTATATATAATAAGAAAATAAAAAAAAACAAAAGAATAAAAATAAAAAAATTGAAAACAATTGACATTTTCCTTTAGTAGTTCCCAATCTTTTTCCAGTGAGTGGTCTTTTCCCAAATTACTAAATAAAAGACAACCATAAGGCATAATGGCGCCGCGGCCACCAGAGAAAAACTCAAATAGATTTCATATGTTTGCGAACATATCCCCCCAAAGAAAAAAAATTAAAAATTCGACTTTCCGGTGTTGCCAATCAGTAACATCACTGCTATTGACAAAAAATATGTTGTTATTTCTTCAACTGATACTTGCACAATTTTACAAATCAGCCCTGCTATAAAAAAAGCCCTAGATTCTATTTCGATTCTATGGGATTCTATGGGATGGGATTTTACTTATCCTCGTTGGGCACCCGCGTGTAACCGAAAATCTAATAAAGTCGAAATCATTAGCTAATTTATGTGCTATTTCCGCTAAATTACATGACAAACTGACCTCAGCTAGAGGTGTAATTTATTAACCGTGCTTAAAGCATGTGCTGGAAGATGAAATTGTTCGCGAAATAGGCAATCAAGGAGTGACCGAAGTCTATAAATTTACTAAATTAAATGACGACGGAAAAACCCCTACAGTCCTGCAGGAAGGATTATTATGACCGTTGATCGCTATCGGTTACCGAAAACTGTTGATGTGGCTTGGTATAAATGTAAGGTAGAACTCTACATTCCAAATCCCGTGAGGTGCGAAAATTACCAACGCCTGGGTCATAAGGCAAAAAGGTGCATCAGTGCTCCATCTTATGCTAACTGTGGTCTTCCTCCACATGCTGAAAGTTGTGCGCGTAGTTTCTGCGTAAATTGCAACGATCAACACTCGGCGTTAGACCACGTTTAATACAATTGCGCGACATTCTAAAAGTCAAAACAAAAAATTACCGAAGCATGGGCGAAGCGCAACGCGAGTACCGGGGAATAAATCTATCTGGAACCCAAAGAATTAACAAAAGTAATACCTACGCTGCTGTCTCGTAAATCAAGCCTAGTAAGACTTTAACTCCATCTTCCAACGAAAAATCTGTTCTTTCATCAGCCAAAAACTATA